CAAACTTGCTCAAAATTAATTTCTAGAGGTAAAAAAGCACGTAGAGCTCGATTTTGATGTCAAATTTTGAAAATTTCAGCTGTGACATCCTGAAAATCTGATTTTTCTGGAATTTCACCTACTTTTACTCCATAAATCGATCTTCCCTCTGACGAAGTGGCCACCTTGATCATTTCCACCATATCCGGTTTTTGTTCAGACAGCAATCTCATGAATTCGGTCATCTGAAAAAAAGCACAGTAACCCGAAAACATTTTTTCTACAGTACCTCTTCATAAGAGTGATAAACATTGGCATCAAAATCGGACCAAGTTTTCAGGGCTCTTTTTCGTCTTCTAATCGCGTTGTGTATCATCGCACGACGCTCTGCGTTGATTTGGCTGAAAATTTTAGTGTTTGCGGACTACAGTAATCTATAGCAAGCTTCAAAAACTTTCAATTTTCTACCTTTCAGACAAATTTTATCGCGTTTTAAACATCGAATTCGAATTTCCCGCGCTCGAATTAGTCTAATCTAAAATTTTCAGCTCGATCGGGGCTATTCGGTGTTTGCGTACTTTTGGAGCCACAGTAACCCAAAAATTTTCGAAATTTTTCAAAATTGAGCTAGAAACTTCTAGTCTTTTGCTTCCGGACCAACTTTTTGCGGAAAATTCAAATAAATTGCTTACGATATGGTCCGCCATGGTTTTTGCGTACATTTCTATCTACAGTAACCCAAAATGTATGGAAAAGTGAGATTTTCCTAAATTCGACGTAGGTTTGAGCCGTTTTCAATGCTGAATCATTATTTGGGGCTATCAAATTAGTCTAGCTGCAAATTTTCAACTTTATCGGAGCTATTCGGTGTTTGCGTACTTTTGGAGCTACAGTAACCCGAAAAATTCCAAAAATCTTCAAAACTGAGATAGAAACTTCTAGTCTTTTGCACCTAGGCCCAAATTTTGCGGGAAATTCAAAAATTTTAGCATGAAAACTTAAAAAACTTCGAAAAAATCTAGAAACTTTCAAAAATTACCTTTGAATATCCCCTTCGAGCACTTTTAGTGTCGAAATTTCCGCCGAAGTCAAAAGTGACCGGAATTTTGTCAAAAATTCTGGAGCAACCAGCACATCAGCATATGGGTTCTGTTTCGATGGCTCCGCCCAAATATCAATTAGTAGACGCGCGGTTTGGGTGGTCTGAAATCTTTTTTGTTTAGTTTTTCTACCGTAACCTGTTTAGATTTCAAAAGTTATGAAAAATTTATTAGATTTGAATTTGTGACGTTAAGAGCTTTAAAACGAATATAGTCATGACCTATATTGGACAACTTTCATTTTCGGCCGATTCGGGCCGGCCTGAAAAGCCTAAAAATCAAATTTCAAGCTTCCCTGGCTTGTTTGTACTCATTTGGAAACTCTAATTGTGACAAGTTCAAATCCGCAATTTATTTTCCGAAAATTTGAAAATCCACAAGGTTACGGTAGATTTTCAAATTTTTGAAACTTTTTCACCTACCGTATCCAATTCCATATCGTAACTTTCCAGCTTTTCCATTGAATTTGATGTTGTATCGACTTTGAATCGATAGAGTGTGTATCTGGAAATTGCAAATTCAAAAAGTACAGTAATCCAGGGATTACTGTAGACTCACCCACTATAATCGGCCTGTTTTTCAGCAGCATTGACTTGGCACCATATGGCACCAGTCCCAAAGATGGCCAAGTAGAGGAGCCACATGCTTCTGAAATTTGAAAATTTCAGAAAATTGAGATTTTCAGTAAATCTGAAATTAAAAAAAATAATTTTTTGGAATATTTTTTTTTTGAAAAATTTCAAAAAATCTGAAAATAATTCATATTTGGTCTTATTTGAAAGATCTAAAACTGCAAAATTCAAAATTGTTAGTCTGAATTACCCTAATCAAGCTTGAAAACCATTAAAATTCGGAAAAAAGTTTTAAGTCAAAATTTTGAAATTTTTCGAAAATTTTTAAAAACAAAAAACTTCTTTCTTCTGAAATTTGAAACCAAAAAATTCAAGAAAAAAAACGGATTTTTTCTCAGAAAAATGATGATATCTAGGTGATATTTGAGAAGAAAAATGAATGAGGTAAGAGAGAAGGAACGAGGCAAAAATATTTTGAAATCAAAAATCAAAATTTCGAAAAATTCTGGAAATTCTTAAATTCAGAAATTCAGAAATTCAGAAATTCAGAAATTCAGAAATTCAGAAATTCAGAAATTCAGAAATTCAGAAATTCAGAAATTCAGAAATCCAGAAATTCAAAAATTCAGAAATTCAGAAATTCAGAAAATCAGAAATCCAGAAATTCAAAAATTCAGAAATTCAGAAATTCAGAAATTCAGAAATAAAAAATGCTGTATTTTTTGAATTTCTTCTCTGAAACTTCGAAAAATCGAAAAATAGGATATTCAGAAAAATCATATTTCTTGGAAATTCTGAAATTTACTAGAAATTCAAAGTTCAAAATGTTCCAAAATTCGCAAAAATCTATTCTTCACTTCTCCGAAATTCGAATCCTTCTTGTTCCATCTGTGAGCAATTAGAAATATAGAAGGGACCACATGTTTATAAATTTCTCTGCGTCTCTCCAAACTTGTATACTCTCTATTTCTCTTTTGTTAAATTTTGTTTATTCCGAAAAGTCTCTTAATCTTTAGAAACTCGCAATGGGATTATAAAATCTAAGTTTCAAAATTTTCAACAGATGCAAAACAATTAATCATTATTAAAATTTCTCCATTTCACTTATTTCTGTTAGATTTTAAAAAAGTAAAACTTTTAGAATTTTCAGAACTATTTTTCTAGAATTGCAAGTTAAAATTTCAGAATTTTTTTAAACTTTGAAATAAGGAAATTTTGAAAGGTTACAGGATTTTTCAAATTTTTAAGGACTGAAAACGGCGAATTTAAACCAAAAAATACTTGAAATTCTGAAAACTTGAAAAAAAGAAGTTTTTGAAATTGTTATATTTGAAGTCTTATGACTTTTTTGTTTACAACAATTTTATGGGACGATAATAGGTTCGAACGTACTACAAATCATCAATCATCAACAATTGATTAAAGGAGGCCAGACACGAAAGTCAACGGGGTTTTCTTGGGGCGAGATCATGTATTCTGACGGAAAGTCGTGCGATTGCGACCCAATGCGCGCTACTTGACGAGCATTTATTTTTTTTTAGTACACACTAGATTTCTTCAATGTTAGGCGATAATTTCATACTTTTTGTCGATATTCTGTCATTCAATGATGTCGCCGCTTGAAAACAGAAAAAAAAACAAAAAAGGACAGATGGGAATCGAACCCGCGATGCGCGACCGATAGACAAGCGCGCTCACCTCTACACCACACAGGAGTTGTCGGCTTCTGCCGCTAAAACATTTATGAAACGAGGAGTGTGTCGCCGCTTGGAAGAACGTTCGCGTTCTCGCTTGTATGGCAAAATGGAGTTATGGTTGGATGGCCATACATATTTTCTGACTGTACTGTGTCATATATAAAAAAAAACTAGAACTTTGAAATTTTTCATGTCTGGCCTCCTTTAAAAAATTTTTTCAAAAAAACAGTTTTTTCAGAAATTAAAAAAAAATACATGTTAGAAATTTGATTTTTCGAGTTTTCGAATTAATTTCGAAGGGTTTTAGACTCAAAAAACGAAAACTGTTGCAAAAAAAATTTCTGAATTTCTGAATTTCTGAATTTCTGAATTTCTGAATTTCTGAATTTCTGAATTTCTGAATTTCTGAATTTTTGAATTTCTGAATTTCTGAATTTCTGAATTTCTGAATTTCTGAATTTCCAGAATTTTTCGAAATTTTGATTTTTGATTTCAAAATATTTTTGCTTCCTTTTTTCTCTCTTACCTCATTCATTTTTCTTCTCAAATATCACCTAGATATCATCATTTTTCTGAGAAAAAATCCGTTTATTTTCTTGAATTTTGTTGCAAAAACGAAAACTGTTGCAAAAAACGTTTTCCAGCTAACTAAACGACTGTAAAAACTGTGTGTAATACAAGAAAAAAGTTTAAGCTTCCGATCATAAAATAAAAAGAGTGGAAGAAGAAGAAAAGTACTACTAGATCTACTATTACACAACACTCATTTTCTCGCCTTTTTCATTGATAAAACATAGAGATGAACAGGTTTTTAAGGCCAAAAAAACAAACGCTTTTCTCGCCCTTGAGACAATTATCACTGATAAGCTTGTGTTAAGCTTAACAGTTGAATGATTCACTTTTTGAGAAATCAGGTAGAGAGAAATCAGTTTTATAAAATTTTTGTCTTGAAAAGTTTTATAGGAAATATTGAAACAAAATCGAAATTTTCGAAAATTCGGATTTTTGGAATTTTCATTTTTTGGGTTTTGTGATGTTAAGATTCTCAAGAAGTTGGTTACGGTAGATTTGGGAAGGAACTGCGAGAATGCCAAAAGTTCCAAAAAGTCTGAAATTCCGGAAACTCTTAAAATTCGAAAATTATGAATTTCGTAAAAATGGAAAATTCGAAAATTCCGAAAATTCTGAAAATTGAATTTTGAATTTTAAATTTTTTTACTTGAAAATTCAGAAATTCAGAAATTCAGAAATTCAGAAATTCAGAAATTCAGAAATTCAGAAATTCAGAAATTCAGAAATTCTGAAATTCAGAAAATCAGAAATTCTGAAATTCAGAAATTCAGAAATTCAGAAATTCAGAAATTCAGAAATTCAGAAATTCTGAAATTCAAAAATTCTGAAATTCTGAAATTCAAAAATTCTGAAATTCTGAAATTCAGAAATTCAGAAATTCAGAAATTCAGGATTCGGAATTTTGAGAAAATTCAAAAAATCCAGAAAGTTCAAAGATTAGAAAAAGTTTTGAAAATTGAAACGTTCCAAAATTCTAAAAATTCAGAAAAAGGAAAAACTCAAATTGTTCCATTTTTTTTTTTGAAAAAAAACCAAATAAATCCCAAAATTTCCCATTTTATACCTCCAAAAATGTTTACTTGACCCCAAAAATCATCCAAGAAACCTGTCAGAAATCTACCAGTTTTCCGGAGAGAAAAGTCAACAAAATAGAGATACACAGACAACTTTTTCTTCTTCCGCGCGGAAAATATAAGAGTAAAAATCAAATATTTGCTCAGAAATCTAAAATTTTGATCATCTAAAAGAAAAAAGTGTTCATTGGCAGAGAAAAGGCGAAGAAAACCACACCTTACTCATTTTTTGTTTTCTGGAAAAATATGTTTTCTTTCTGTTTGGTTTTCTGGGGTTACTGTAGCTCGAAAAGTCCGCAAACACCGAATGGATTTGCTATTTTGGGTGAATCGATGCTCAGAAACACGTTTTCGATACTGAAAACTACCAAAAACGCATGGGAAATTCGAAATTTTGAAAAAATCGAAAATCCAAAAAATTGTTTGTTAAAAAATTCCGATTTCTGGACTCTAAGAACTCAAAATTCTCAATTTTCGTTTTCAAATTCAGATTTCTAATCAAAAACGGATGGAAACACAAAAAACTAGAGTTTCTAGCTCAATTTTGAAATTTTTCAGGTTTTTCGGGTTACTGTAGCTCGACAAGTCCGCAAACACCGAATGAGCCCAAAACTTCTAGTTTTTGAGTTTCTAGACTCAAATTGTGTTTCTCAGCTCATTTTTGATGTCAAAATCGCGTCAAAATGTCTCAGAAGCCCCCAAAAATCGACATTTCGCAATATTTCAGATTACTGTAGCACGAAAAGTACGCAAACACCAAATGAGAGCTAGAGGGCTGGAAAATAGTGTGTAGACTCAATGACCATCGAGAAACTCGAATTTAACGTCAAAAGTGATGTAAAAGATCCAATTTTCAAAGTTTCCCAGGATTACTGTAGCTCCAAAATTTCAGATTTTTCTGAAAATCGATCACAACTTTTCTCAAATTCGATTCTTTCAAATTTTGTCTAAAGGTAACAACATATTCGAATTCTTCACAAAATTTTGGTTTGAACCCAAAAAACCAGAAGTTTCTAGCTTGATTTTCAAAATTTGGAATTTTTCAGGTTTTCGGGTTACTGTAGCTGGAAAAGTACGCAAACACCGAATGCGCCCGAAATCACTAGTTTTTCACTTTCCGGGCTGAAAATTCGATTTTAAGCTCATTCTCAGTGTCAAAAACACGTCAAAATGTCTCCAAAAACCCAAAAAAAAGCAATTTTTGACAATTTCCAGGATTACTGTCGCTCCAAAAGTCCGCAAACACCGAATGACGCGATTTCGAGTTGAAAATTTGTGTCTAGACTAAATAAGCAATGAGAACCTCGAATTTGAATATCAAAAATGCTGAAAAATCAACCTAAAATCCAAAAATGTGCATTTTTCAAAGTTTTTCCAGGTTACTGTAGCTCCAAAAGTCCGCAAACACCGGATGAGATCTGAAGAGAATTTTTAGCTCAAAAAAATGTGTTCTAGACTAGTTTTTCGCGCTGAATCCAATTTTTCTGTCAAAATTCGGGAAAAAATGCTCTGAAACCCGAAAAAAGACTTTTCAAAATTGAGAATCAAATTTATTCACTTTCAGCAAGAGGGGCGGTGGGAACAACATCAGGAATGGAATTTTTGGGAGGGGAAACGTCATTTTTAACAAATTTCAAAATGTATAAATGCTCGATGCCGCATCTGCGCTCCATTGACACACTGGCCGTCATTTGCTCGGCGTGCTCTTTGAGCAACGATGGAATGTCGTTTGAGTGGAGGGCGACGAGATAGAAGACGCCACGCGGAGACAGTAACTCCGGGACACGTGGCAGCAAACGGTCGAGGGTCGACCGACCGGTTCGACCGCCCGCGTAGGTCAACTCGATGTTAGACTTTGGCTCCTCTTCGGTTGGCACGTACGGTGGATTGAAGAGCAGCACGTCAACCTGCAAAAACCGTTAAAAAACCCTTTAAAACACCCCTGAAACTATAAGAATGACTTTTTGAAAAAATTTGAAATTTTTTTCTGAAAATTTCCAATTTTCAGCACTTTAAGATCAATTTTCCCAAAAACTAACAACATATTTATATTCTCCACTAAATTCCAATCTAGACACTGAAAACTAGAAGTTTCTAGCTCAATTTTGAAAATTTTGCCATTTTTCTGGGTTACTGTAGCTCGAAAAGTCCGCAAACACCGAACGAGCCGAAAACCTCCAGTTTTTAAGTTTCTAGACTGAAAATTCTATTTTAAGCTTGTTTTAAGCGTCAGAATTGCGTTAAATTACCCAGAAAAGCTCGATTTTTGCGATTTCCGGGGATTTTTGGGTTACTGTAGCTTGGAAAATACGCAAACACCGAATGATTCCGAAACCTCTAGTTATTGAGTTTCTAGACTGAAAATTCGATTTTGAGCTTGTTTTCAGCGTCAGAATTGCGTAAAAATACACAAAAATGTCGATTTTGCCAATTTTCTGGTTTTCTGGGGTTACTGTAGCTTCAAAAGTACGCAAACACCGAATGGCGCAATTTCGAGCTAAAATTTGCTATTTTGGGTGAATCGATGCTCAGAAACACGTTTTCGATACTGACAACTACCAAAAACGCATGGGAAATTCGAAATTTTGAAAAAATCGAAAATCCCGAAAATTGTTTGTTAAAAAATTCCGATTTCTGGACCCTAAGAACTCAAAATTCTCTATTTTCGTTTTCAAATTCAGATTTCTAATCAAAAACGGATGGAAACACCAAAAACTAGAAGTTTCTAGCTCAATTTTGAAATTTTTCAGGTTTTTCGGGTTACTGTAGCTCGACAAGTCCGCAAACACCGAATGAGCGGAAAATCTCTAAATTTCGAGTTTCTAGACTGAAAAATCGATTTTAAGCTTGTTTTCGACGTCAAAATCGCGTTAAAACACACAGAAAGGCTCGATTTTGCGAATTTTTAGGAGTTTTTGGGTTACTGTAGCTTCAAAAGTCCGCAAACACCGAATAAAAGCTAGACGGCTGAAAATTTGTGCCTAGACTAAATCAATGCCGGGAAATTCGAATTTTGCATTTAAAATGGCTGAAAGTTAGCGGGGAACTCGGAAAATGGCATTCAAAAAATGGATTCTGTTGAAATTGCCTAGAATTGCTCAAAATTGCTCATTCTTCACCAATGTTTTTGGGATTTTCTCCAATTTCTCTCATTTCTCTCACCTTTCCAACCAGATTCTCTAATCCAGCAAACAAATCCGTGCGTACCACATCGATTTTGATGTCGTTCAACTTGGCGGTCTCCAGTGTCACATCCAACGCGTGCGGATTCAAATCCGTCGCCACCGACGTCACGTTTCCGCCCAACGCCTGATTGACGAACGTCGAGACGACGCCCGAGCCACAGCCGATTTCTAGAACCAGTTTTGGTTGGCGCGAACGGATTTCCTGGAAAAAATCGGGATTTTTGGGGGAAATCTGGACGGGAAAGTCGATTTTTCAGACTTCAAAGACATTTTTACGCATTTCTAACGTCGAAAACAAGCTCAAGATGGTCGATTCACCATAGAAACGATGCTTTTTTGCTCAAAAATCGATTTTCGGTGTTTGCGTACTTTTCGAAACACCGTAACCCAAAAAATGAGAGGAATTTTCAAAATTGAGCTAGAAATTTCTAGTTTTTTTGTGTCTAGAATCATTTTTGATGAGAAATCTGAATTTGAAAACGAAAATAGAGAATTTTGAGTTCTTAGGGTCCAGAAATCGGAATTTTTTAACAAACAATTTTTGGGATTTTTGATTTTTTCAAAATTTCGAATTTCCCATGCGTTTTTGGTAGTTTTCAGTATCGAAAACGTGTTTCTGAGCATCGATTCACTCAAAATAGCAAATTTTAGCTCGAAATTGCGCCATTCGGTGTTTGCGTACTTTCGAAGCTACAGTAACCCAAAAAATTTCGAAAAATGTCAAAATCGAGCTTTTCTGGGTTTTTTAACGCTTTATTGACACTAAAAATAAGCTCAAAACTAAGTTTCCAGTCTAGAAACTTAAGAACTAGAGGTTTCGGGCGCATTCGGTGTTTGCGTACTTTTGGAGCCACAGTAACCCAAAAAAAACTTTAAAATTGGCTAAATTGAGCTAGAAACTCCTCGTTTTTTGCGTCTAGACTCATTTTTGATGAGAAATCTGAAAAAAATTTTGAGTTAAAAATATCCAAAAATCGGGATTTTTTTCCACAATTTTTGGAGATTTCAATTTTTTCAAATTTAAATGGATTTTATGTGTTTTTAAATGTCAAAAACAAGTTTCCGAGCATTGATTTGGTCTAAATCTCAACTTTCAGCTCAAAACTCGGTCCTTCGGTGTTTGCGTACTTTTGGAACTACAGTAACCCAGAAAAACTTGGTTTTTAGGGTTTCAGAAGCATTTTAACGCGTTGTTGACATCAAAAATGAGCTTAGGCTTACGTTTTTAGGCTAGAAACTCAAAAACTAGACGTTTTAGTGTCATTCGGTGTTTGCGTACTTTTCGAGCTACAGTAACCCAAAAAATTCCGAAAAATGTCAAAATAACGCTAGAAACTCCTAGTTTCGAGGTTCTAGACCCAAATTTTACGGGAAATTCGAAATTGGCGCTCAAATTGGTCCTACATCATACCTTGATATCCTTTTCGATGGCATCAATCAACAAGAACGTGTCCTCGGCTGGCTCATAGATGTCGTGAGCCCGGATCGCTTGTAGACGATATTGTGGCGTGGGAATTGACATTTTCGCGCTGAAAATCGATTTTTTAAGCTGAGCAATGGTCAAAATTGTCAAAAAAAAGGGCGGAAAAATTGGAGGGATATAATCAAATTTTTTCCCAGTTTTTGGGACAAAAAAAGTGTCAAAAAATGGGGGAAATTTGATATACAAAGGATGTATCATTTCTCTCTCTCTCTTTTTGCACTTTTTGAGCAAAAAAGAAGAGAAAAGAGCCCATTTTTGCACTTTAAGGGGTCTAAACATGGTTTTCTTTTTTTTGGATTTTTCAAGCATTTTTGGACCACTGGGAACTGAAAAAAACTGTCTGAAACAGCTAAAAATCACTGAAAATGCACAAAAATGGAAAATTAGGAAACATTTTTTTTTTGAAAAAACCTGAAATTTTCAGCCAAAACAGCCCAAATTTGAGATTCATTTTTAATGAAAAATCCATGAAATCTATATCAATTTTGATCGAAAAATCTGAATTTTCAGTTCATTTTAAGTCTAGAGCAACTGAAAATCAGAAAAAAACCAAAAAAAAAAATTTGTGAAATATTGGAATTTTCAGCCAAAAAATCTCAAATTTCAGAGTCATTTTTTATGGAATTTTCATGATTTCTAGACTAATTTTGATCGAAAAATTTGAATTTTCAGCTCATTTTAAGTCTAGAGCTACTGAAAATCAGAAAAATCGAAAAAAATTTTTTTTTCAAAAAATCTGAAATCTTCTTCCAATTTTTCAGATTTCTAGAATATTCAACTTTTCGTCAAAAATTGATTTTCTAGATGATTATTGATCGAAAATTTGAATTTTCGGTGTATTTTAGGCCTAGAATCACTAAAAATAGAAAAAAATTCAAAAAAAGTAGAAATTTGAAAAATCTGAAATTTTCAGCCAAAAAATCTCAAATTTCAGAGTCATTTTTTATGGAATTTTCATAATTTCTGGACTATTTTTGATTGAAAATTTCGAATTTTCGGTTAATTTTAGGCCTAGAATCACTAGAAAATAGTCAAAAAATGGATTCTAAAAAGTCAACATTTTTGGAATTTTCTAGAATCCAAAAAAAGAAGAAAAACCCCAAGAAACGAGGAAAAAACAACTACTAAATCAACGCCCCTTCTCACAATTTTCTTGTCAAATTCAAAAAAAAACGAAGAACCGGAAAAACAGAAAGCGAGAGTGACTGGTACCACCAGTTGG